TACTTACATCAAGCGAAAGGATGGTTATGATTTGTTTCACTTCCTTTAACAGCGAGATAGCTATTTTCCTCGGTTGCGGCCTGAAGCATACATGGCTAGTTTTACAAACAACAGATTGTTATCACGTACCTAATCTGACATAGCATAACAAGTGCGAGACCTTCAACCATATGGAGGACAGAGGCATAATTCAGTACATAGAGTGGAGGAGCGATATGATTGGCATGTTCTGTATTATTATCCTGAATGGAATTATACATGTTCATTGCTGCTGTTATTCATCATATCAGTAAAGGATGGATATGGTAAAATTAAGGCGGACTAAATACAGACATCCACTCATTCGGAAAAACTGCTTTGAATTTGCTGGATCACACTGAAATGACCGTGATTTCAAAAAGAATGGCGTAATTTAGAAAAAAAATCCCGGATAAAAAAGGCAAAGAAAAAAGCAAACTCAAGCTTTAAGAGTTTTCCATAAGCAGCAGCAAAGATAAAAACTATCAAAACAGAATAGAATGTAGAAAAAGCCAAAAAGGAAAGAAAATGCCAACAAAAACCACACCTTTTCTTGCTCTTTCTTCTTCTCTTGCAACGCTGCAGACTTCCAGGTGAGAACCATTTGATGCAGAAGGCGAAGAGCTTCGTCAAGAACGACAGGGTAGAAATCCTGCAACAAAGAGCTAATCACCTGTTACTATGCTATATGCATCTTTACCGTCAACTGATTTTGGAGCAAAGTGATTTCAGCCAGGATGATGTGTTCCCTCCATTCCGGAAATTCTCCCAACATATTTTGTAATGTGTTTCCTGCCATCGTTCGCAATTCTTCGTCAACATGAACAGTAGTCCTTGTCAGTATGTCGATAAGATCCTAAAAAATAACATAGTAATGGAAAAGATCACAAGAGCAACTCACGGTGTAAGGCATTGGTTCAGGTAACAAACGAGGTATGGCAGCCACACAAGTTCGAAACAGATCGAGCTTTGGCTTCACTTCCCCTCTGTAAATCATTATGAAACCTGATATATACACAAGTATATACACAAATGTGATTTTATTACCCTAAGAGCTCTTCTGGTTCTTTGCCTTTTTGTATCGCAGTCATCATCAGAGGGCGACCAACCTAAAGTCTTTGACTAGATTGAGATTAAAGGCAGTGTCGCGGCAGGGTTTCGTTTTAAAGTTTTTCGTACTTTCGGGTCCTTTTTGTAGTGAAAAATCCTTATGCTTTTCTGCGTATAAAAATGGCAAAAATGAGCCATTTTCAGAGCTTTCCAGATCCGAATTCAGTCGAAATACCCCGGATTTCTTCCGCATCCTGCCTCCCTCCGGACTCCGCCCACTTACACGCACTTTC